CATAAATCAGTTATATGATGAAAAATTAGGTGTCTATTTACTTGTGACCACTTAGTGTATATCAGTCAATACAAGTTGCCTTTTTTACCTTTTTAGGGATGGCTATATTACTTAATATGAAAACATCATAGAAGAATCATGTACATTTAATTTGGAAACAGTGAAATTCATTAAACATTAATTAAAAGTACAATATTTTTCAAGTTATAAAAACCATCTCAATTTGTAATTTCACAAAATTTTCAATATTTAAATTTTAATTTGTTAAACATAAGAACAAGGACTATTTCATATGATAGTACAATAGTCTCTGAACTAATGCTTTCAATCAACATTCAATGAATGTGACTAAAAGGAAGATTAACAACATAAATCCAATTGTGTGATTACAGTATTATGATATTGGTTCAGAATAAAAAATGGTTATGCTAACATAACTTATCTTAAATGAAGATAAAAAAAGAAAAGAATGTTGATTACTCTAAAGTCATAGCTAATATCAGTTGCTGGAAAAAAAGAAATGGTAATTCTGTATTTAAACTGACATTCTGTATATGTGTACAAGTGTGTTATCAGAGGTTACAGTAAATAGCAAATAAAATGAAACAAATTTTCTATAAAAGTATAATTTATTTTGCCCTACCTTGCATCTAGCTGCTGAGATATAACCTGTAACACGTGACTGATCTTCTCCACTAGAGTTATTGAGTTCTTGGACAGATCAGTATCCTGACACATGTGGAGACAGAAGCACAATAAGTGAGAAAAACAAGACTCATGCAAGAACAATGCACAGTCTGCATCCTCAACATAACACTTTACTATCTTCAAAAGGCACTGAGTGGCTTCAACTTGATTCTGAATCTGGGTTGCTATGGAAATTTACCAAGATATTATCTTAATAGAAAATATTAGTGAAATGTTACATTAGAAATATATATCAATTAGAAAGAGACCTATTAAGGAACTTCTCACACAGATACAGCACTAAGATGATGTCTATTAAGGAACTTCTCACACAGATACAGCACTAAGATGATGTCTATTAAGGAACTTCTCACACAGATACAGCACT